CTTCCAATATTCCTTAGTTTAAGCATGTCATTTTTCCTTCATCTATATTACTAATTGTTAAGATGGGGCCAAAGAAAGTTTTCCTGCTGCTTCTATTTCTTTAGTGAACTACAATTCTGTTCTTGTGTTTCTACTTCAAAACCAATTTCTCCCTCATTGCTTTCCCTCAATTCCTTTAACACACTTAAGACTCCTTAGTTGTTTACCAGGACTATAGGACTTTAGAGTTAGAAGGGACTTCCCAGGATCATTTAGTCTTGCCCAACTCTCTCCTTTACAAGAAACAGGAAATCAGAAAAGTTCAGTTATTTTTTGCAGGCCACATGGCTGGGAGCAGAACTAAGAAATACTAAATATATGGTATTCTTTCCATTACAGTTTTTTATTTAAATTTTTGTATGTTCATCGGCTCATTTCATCTACATGAAATAAATTATTTTTTATTCTGTGTTATTTAAAACATTGTACAATTTTTGTTTTCAAAAATATTCTGGCTACCATACAAAGAGCACATAATACTCTGTTTCTTCTACTTTGTTAGCTCATTCAGGGAGGAAGTAGATCAAAAACCTGTCTCTACTCTGACAAACTGCCTGGAAAAACAAATAAAAAATTTAGAGTTGCTGTAGGGATTGGGCAAAGGAACATTTTGGTTGAAATTTCAAATCTTGTTTCTCAGTCTGCAAATGCATTAACTATCAACTTCCTAAGACTCAGTAGAAAGAATAATTTTACCATTGTATCGATGATATACATCGAATGTATCAATGACACAATGGATTTTTTTTTTTTTTTTGAGATTGAGTCTTGGTCTGTCACCCAGGCTGAAGTGCAGCGGCACGATCTTGGCTCAATGTAGCCTCCACGTCCAGGTTCAAGTGATTCTCCTGCCTCAGCCCCCCAAGCAGCTGAGATTATAGGTACCTGCCACCATGCCCAGGTAATTTTTGTATTTTTAGTAGAGACAGTGTTTTACCATGTTGACCAGGCTGGTCTCAAACTTCTGACCTAAAGTGATCCACCTACCTCGGCTTCCCAAAGTGCTGGGATTACAGGTGTGAGCAGCCACTCTTGGCCACATGCAATCTTTTATATTATTTCTGGTTGATTTATAGTTAACATGGCTTATGACTAAACCTAGATATGAAATCCACTGTGTTTTTAATAAATAATAATCATCATATACCTTTTCACCAGAATGTAGGATCTGCAAGAGTTAGTATTCATTTTTCACCCTATGATTTCTGCCTGGCTTCGAGAAGGCTCTCAATAAGAATGTGTTGATGAACAAATGAATGAGCAAATAAGTAAGTTTTTCAAAGGTAAAACTCACCCCAAAAAAATGAAAATGCAAAGATCTGAAATTTTAGTAACTCCCCAAAAAGTAAACGGAAGAGACATATTCCAGAGGAACACACTAAAGCTAACAAATGAGTCTTCATATTACAATTATAATATTCTTTTTCAACAAGTGCTTACTCCTTCCTTTTCTCTGGAATCTCTCATCAGGTTACTCTTTGTTTCCTTAGGCTTGTTTTGCATAAGAGACTTCTATAATAATTCTTCTGTTCATTTTTGTAGAAACACCAAGCAAATGTTCAAGAAATTCAAATCAAGTTCACTATGATAAGATCATAAGGAGGCCACCAGCAGAACCAACAGAATTAGGCTCTTATCAATTATTATTAGTACTACTTCATGACCCAAACTCAATAACAGTCAAGAATTCACTACATTCCTCTTTGTCATACAGCTGTTCTCATAACTCAAATCAAAATATCAATTCTCACATTCATCAAAACATCAATTTCTAGCAATACTACATTGATTAACTAAAAACATTCTCTTTACTAGTGCTTTTATTAAAGATTATCTTTATACTGTTCCTCTAATAAAAAAGTTAAAAGTCGTAAAAAAAAGAATGTTAATTCAAAAGTTAAGGATGAAGAAATCTATTCATCTAATCCTTTTCTAATGTTTTTAATATGTTTACAATTTATTTAATTCACTTCAAATGTCTGTGCCAAGTTGAAAGTTACTGAATTAGAACTGCATCAAACCCAAACCATTTATATTCTTTCTCTACTTGTTAAACATTCATGTTAAACATTTAAAATTATTTTACTTACCAAGTCAAAGCTACAATTTGCGGACGTATTCACCAATCATTTGGTTTACATTACGTAAACATAATGTACTAGCTTACATAAACCCACCAAATAGTTTTCCTTTAATTTACAAAAGCAGAAAATCTAATTCACAACTGTAAGAAAACAATGGATTTAACAATAAACAGATTAACTTACTGAAAAAATCTTTAAAGACATTTAACCAATCCATTTTGAATAAAAGTTCCGTGTTCTCTTCTGTCAGTTTGTTAGACACAGCTCAGGATAATTCTCAGTGAGCTTCCTGGTCTGTTCTGCAACACTGAAACTTCCCACACCCAATCCATGTGACCTGGCCCACACCCAGGCAATAGAAAGGTTTTCTGAGGCTTCTCTCTTTCCCAAACTTTTTTTCCTCTAAATTATAATACAGCCTGTATACCAAGTAAATAATGATGGCCAAAAATATGACCTTATTATTTAGACTTATTTTGGAAGAAGCTTTAAAGCATATACACTTAATATGTTCACGCATTAATCCTTTTGTTTTCTTCTTTTCCTTCTCAACTTTCAAACAATGTCTCCACCAGCACAACCATTGTGAAATAAATCCATTAATTACACTGGACATTTAACTTACCAAATGGGTGCAGAAATTCCAAGAAAAGAAAAAGGCCATCCAGCAAATGCTGGATTTATATCTCTTTACAGGCTAACTACAGATCACTGACTCAAAACAAGGTTTCCAAGCACCTTGGAATATTGGTAGCAATAACTGTAATACAGTAATAAAGTTAACAGAGATTTCCTAAGGTTTAAATAGATAAAAACCTTGATAAAACTGTCTCAGTAACATCAGAATGTAGTATAGAAGGCATCCCTGGAGTATTAGCAAATAATAAAAATTTTATCTAAATGGGCTTTTAGATTTATATATGTAATATCTAATACTGGGATATTTCCCCCCTTTTCTCTGTGATATTACTTTTTTCACTATATTTTGTTAATTACTGTCACATTCACTCTAGTCCCAAGATACCAGTGTCCTTTCAAAATGGAACAAAAAAAGTCTACCTGAGTATATTCTAGTACCCTGTGCACTTATCACTATGAAGCATACTTTCTTGACAGAAATTACCTTAATTTCCCCCAATATCTCTAATCAACATGCTTTAAATAAATGTACAGTATTTACAAAACCAGAAGTATTCTTGGTTTTAAGCCTGGTCTCTTCTGCTACTGAAGGAAAATCTCTGATTTGTCTTCCACTGAAAAACTAAAAACAATGGTCTTAATGGAAAAACCCGAAAAGTACTAAAAAAAAGTTACCTGAGCAGTTAAATATGACCATGACTGTATCTATTTAATTACCTTTAGAACACTGGAAATATTTTTTTAACTCAGAGACTAATAATCCATTACATCTTACTCCAAATTGTACTATATTTTAGTTTTTGCAGTTTTACAATGGTTAAAAACTTTAAATGTTTGTCTTTTATTGAGGATAATTAGAAGAACATTCTAGGATAACAATAATGTTGAAGAAAAATAAAAACTAAGCTGGGCATGGTATTGAGCATCTTAGTCCCAGCTACTCAGGAGGCTGAGGTGGGAGGGTTGCTTGAGCCCAGGGGTTCAAGTTTGGCCTGGACAACAGAGCAAGACTCCATCTCTACAAAAACCATAAAAAAATAAATAAATAAAAACTAATGTAAAGTAGTGAGTCAATAGTGTTTCGTATTTGTCAATCATGCTATATTGCTCCCAAACTGTCTTTGCAAGGAGAAATTGTACTTTTCTTCTACATACAAACAAAGAACCATTACGCAAATAGCATGTTTGTCTGAACACCAAAAATGAAATTCTGTCCCTCCCAATTCCTTCCTGTCAGCTATGGAGAGTTTAATTTTTTTTTACTTTTTAAAGAGAAGAGGGCATTCCTCACCCATGCATATTTCCTTCCTATTAGCTTAGCCAAGTTCAATGCAGAGCCAAGCAGGCTCCACTGTCTCAGGCCCTAATGGAGGGCCAGTAAAAATAAAAAACAAAAACCTTATAGTTAGTGAAATAAAAAAAGAAAAAAAGGGAAACAAAATATAAAAGGGCTCTATAGGTGCCAATGTACAGTAATGATCCACAGTTCTCTTATCAAATAGAAAAATAAAATGGTGGGTTTTAAGTGAAGTTCAAAACATAAGGTCATTAGATGTTAAAATTCATTATGTGCCATGTAAATAAGTTGCCTTGGTGCCAAAGAGGCAGTTCTGCCTATAAGTCTAAACTCCAACAGTCATTCATGGTCCGAAGAGCCCCTGCTAGAAGATCAGAGTTAGTTCTACTTATTAGCACCACTTTGGCTTGACTTTGAGCGTGGGCCTAGATTTGCAGAAACTGCATGTTAACACCTGTGACCTTCATTTGTCTTTTGAGTTGAATACCTGCTATGAGTCAAACTTAGCCCTTGCCTTTTCAAGTCAATTATGCACACTGCTGCCAGAATTATGTACAAAGAACTAAGTTCCAGGATTCATTTAAAACAAAGCATTTTTTTTTCAAATAAGAAATATCTTGGCCAGGCACCGTGGTTCATGCCTGTGATCCTAGCACTTCGGGAGGCTGAGGCAGGTGGATCACAAGGTCAGGAGTTCAAGACCAGCCTGGCCAAGATGGTGAAACGCCATCTCTATTAAAAATTACAAAAAAATTAGCTGGACACAGTGGCACATGCCTGTAATCTCAGCTATTCAAGAGGTTGAGGCAGAACTGCTTGAACCCAGGAGATGAAATGAAGGTTGCAGTAAGCGGAGATCATGCCACTGCACTCCAGGCTGGGTGACAGAGCAAGACTCTGTCTCAAAAAAAGAAAAAAAAAAAGAAATAGAAATATCTTACCTAGGGTATCTTTTAGGTTTTTTACAATAGATGCTTTCCGAGCACTGTTTTTCCTTTCCACATAGTTAGAAGGCACAAAACCTGTTTTATTCATGGAATTTCGAACTCGCCACCAGGACTTAGAATCATCCAGGAGCCATAATCTCTCATTCTTCTTGATGTCCAATTCTTGTTCTTGTTGAGCCACATAATCAAATTTGGCTACTACCACCACTTCTTCTGCCATCTTTCAGCAGCTTCAGCACTGTAAATACATGGAAAATATTTTTATATAAGGTTGAAGTAGTATTCGTCCACATGCTTTTCAAAAGAGACACACCTAAAAATCTAAAGACAGCAAGATTAAAAGTAAAAACCATAGGAAAAAAAATACATGAGGCAAATACTAATTTAAAGAGACTGGTGTGGCTGGGTACAGCAGCTCATACCTGTAATCTGACACTTTGGGAGGCCAAGGCAGGCAGATCACTTGAGGTCAGGAGTGCAAGACCAGCCTGGCCAACATGGTATAATCCCATCTGTACTAAAACACAAAAAATAGCTGGGCATGGTGGTGCACACCTATAGTCCCAGCTACTCAAGAGTCTGAGGAATCACTTGTACCCAGGAGGCAGAGGTTGCAGTGAGCCTAGATCGTGCCACTGCACTCCAGCCTGGGCAACAGAGGGAGACTGTCTCAATCAACCAACCCACCAATCAATCAATAAAGACACTGGTGTTGCTACATTAATATCAAACAAAATTTTAAGAGCAAAAACCATTACTAGCAATAAAGGTGACTATCCAATGAAAAAGGTTCTACTCAATATATATAATATCTAAACTTATATGTACCTAACTAGATAGTTCCAAAATATGTTGATAAAAACACAAGGAGAAACTGACAAACTCATTACCACAGAGGGCAATTTTTAAAATATTATCACAATAATAAAACAACCAAAGAAATAAAAACATTGGGCACAGTGGCTCACGCCTGTAATCCCAGCCCTTTGGGAGGCCAAGGTGGATTGATCACCTGAGGACAGGAGTTTGAGTCCTGCCTGGCCAACATGATGAAACCCATCTCTACTAAAAATACAAAAATCAGCTGGGTGTGGTGGCAGGTGACTATAATTCCAGCTACTTGTGAGGCTGAGGCAAGAGAATCTTGAACCTGGCAGGTGGAGATCGCAGTGAGCTGAGATCGTGCCACTGCACTCCAGCCTGGGTGACAGAGCCAGACTCAGTCTCAAAAAAAATAAAATAAAAACATTATTAAGGGTAGAGAAGAAATGACTTCACAACCAGTGAGTCTGATTTAATAGAGATACACAGAGTATTACTTCCAAACAGAATACAAATGAAACACATACAAAAATTAATCAAATGCCAGGCCATAAAGAATGTCTCAACATTCATGCAACTGATATCCCATATTCTCTAACAACCGTAACAAAAAGGTAACTTTTTAAATACCAACTATGTTTGAAAACTTCTAAAAACTGATGAGTCTAAGAAGAAATCATACAGAATTTTGAAAATACTCAGCATTAAATTATACTTTTAAAAACTATACATCTAACCCTGGGGGATGCATCAAGAGGAGTGTATATAGAAAGATTTTTAGTTTTAAATAGTAACATTAGCAAATAAAAAGAGCTAAAAATAAATTAATGAACTGAGTATCTTAAGCAGCTGGAAAAACTGACGAAACATTAGAAAGCCAAATCCAACTAGAAAACAAGCAAAAAAACACAGAGACATTCACTGAAGATTTACAGATGGAAATTAAGCACATGAAAAGGTATTCATCATCATTAGCTATTAAGAAAATGCAAATTAAAACCATATTGAGATGTCACTAAACACACTTGTCAGAATGGTTAAGAGTGGTAATACCAAATGATGACAAGGTAAATTGAAAGTAGATCTCTCATGCACTGCTGATGAGAATGCAAAATGGTACGTTTACTCTGCAAAATCGTCTTGATAGTTTCTTGTAAAACTAAACATGCAACTATCATATAACTCAAAGACTGCACTCCTGGGTATTTATCCCAGATAAGTGAAGACATATGTTCACATTTTACATGAATGTTAACAGCAATTTTATTTCTAACAGTCAAAAACCGGAAACTACCCAGACGTCCTTCAATAGGCAAATAATTAAACAAACTTGTATGCCCATACCAAAAAGGAACAACTGATATACAAAACAACCTGGATGACTCTCCTGGGAATTATGCTCAGTGAAGAAAAGCCAATCCCAAAGGTTAACTATATGACTCTTGTTATATAACATATGACTTATATATGTTATATATAATATATATATATATTATATAATATAATTATATATAATATTATATTATATAAATATTTTATATTTATATTTATTTATTTATATATTATATAAATATTATATAAATATAATATATAATATATAACATGTATAACTATATGACTATAACACTCTTGAAATGACAATAAAAAGTTTAATTAAAATAAAAACTGAAAGAGAAAACACAAATAGTCAAAAAGTATTCAAAAGATCCTGAATATCTCTGTAATTAAAGAAATGAACTAAAACTGAAATACACTTATCTATCAGGGTGACAAAAATATCACCAATATTATCTAGTGCTCCCCAGAATGTACAAAAATAGCATTCTACTACATTACTGGTATAATAACTGAAAATTTATATAATGCCTTTAAGGTTTTTAATTTTGGGACATTTCAACATATATAGAAGTAGAGAATAGTATAATGAATCCTATACCTATCACCCAACTTTATCAATATTATGCCTTGTGGTTCACCTATCCCCCTAATTTTTGATAGGGAAACTGGAATCCTATGATTTCATAAAAGTACTAACAGATTGAAAACCCATACTCCTCAAAAATTAACAAATCAAGGGCTCTTGACCTTTTTCCCTTTTTAACCCATTTTCGCCGGAGGATACAATTATTTGTGTGTGAAAAATCAGACCTTGGTGATGACCTTAAGCAGCAGGATATAAATAACTCCCACAAGCATAGCATTCCAATAATGGAACACCAGGCATAAATGGGGTAAGCCATGGGCTTCTCCTCCTGCCTTCTGGCAATGTGGTGAAACACAGAACTTCTACTCAAAATAATGTTTTTGATGCATAAAAATACATAAGATTGTAAATAAGTCAATTATATTAAAATTCAATTTGATGCATAAAAATACATAAGATTGTAAATAAATCAATTATATTAAAATTCAATTATCAATATATTTTCAAAAGCTCCTTTTAAAAAAGTGTTTATTAAGTTTAAGAACTCCTGCAACACTTACTTCATCTAATGCTAACAGTCAATTTTTGCTGAGTGTATTTAAAAAAAAAAAATTCTTACAGTTGGTTTGAACTGGGATCCAAACTAAGTCGATATATTGCACTTAAGCTAATATGTTTTAAGTCTCTGACACCATTCTCTTTCCCCACTCTATGTCATTTATTTATTTGTTTAAGAAGTTGGCTTCATTTGTCCTGTAGCATTTCCCACATCTTGAATTTGGTAATGTGTATTTTCATGGTGTTCCTCTATCATCAGTATCTCCTATAAACTGGTAATTATTTCTAGAGGCTTTACTTTTTCTAGGTTGTTTCGTCATTGTTGCAAGAATACTTAATAAATATTCTTATGTACTTCTTATTGCCATTTATTAGGAGACACATTATGTCTGTCTGAACCATTTCCTGTGATGTTAAGACTGAATGATAGATCTGTAACATTATAAAGTTTTATCCATTATAAAGTTTATGATTTATCCATTAAAAAGTTCCCCCACCAAACCTCTACCCAATGGTTTTATCTGCCACTGATGATCACTGCCTAGATAAACTATTTCCAAAATGATGATTTGCTAGCGTAGCTTTTAGAAACTATTATTATTCTTGAAGGAAATTTTTGCCTAATTATTCCATTACTCTAAGACATAAAACCTTATAGAAATGGTAGAATATATACTTCTGTGTGGTTGTGACACCAATTGGATGTAGATTTAGGCTCACTTGTTTTCATTTTTTGAAGATCACTTTATTTTCTCTTTTTAAAATGTAATTGTTTCATAATTATGTAAAACATTTGGATGGTTCTAAAAGCGAAACTATCAGGCAAGGTACAATTAGAGGGGTCTTCTTCCATACATTCTCTTTTCTCTCCCCTCCCCCATCCACCCCACTGGATGGCCATTTATTTGTTTTGGTTTATGTTTCTTTTTTTTTTTTTTTTTTTTTTTAATATTTTAAGGAAAGTATTCAAGAAAAATATAACAGAAAATTGAAAATTCTAATTTTCATCTACCCCCACAACAAAACATACTCACACACATGCATGTGTGCACACATACACACACAAGGATATACTATACTGTGTTAATCTTTTTCAGTTTAATAATATGTCCTTAAGATCATTCCACAGCAGCATATGAGATTTTCTTTACTAATATATCTACTACTTCTAACAATTGCACAGTTCCTCATCATTATAGAAGCAGCACTTCCTTCAACTGGACTTGATGGGTCAATGGGTTGTTTCTAATTTTCTGGGATAAATAGTGCTGCAACGAACAGCCTCATATACATTTCATTTTGATTTTCTGTTAGTATACCTTTGGGTTAGAATCATAGAAGAATGCTGATTACAACTAAGGTTTGTATAATTTTGTGAGATATTGCTAAATGCTGTTATTTGTAACTATTTTCTAAAATTCCTGATATATCAGTGATTATTTCCTCACAGCCTTGCCAACAAAGAGTGTTGTCAAACTTTTGCATTTTTGCCAATTTAATAGGGGAGAAATAGTATTTCAGAGTTTTTATTTGTATTTCTCTTATTACAGTGATATGTTTTACCATACTTAAGGGATGTTTACATTAGTTTTTCTGTGTAAACTACTTGTTCATATCTTTTGCCCATATCCTAAAAAGATGACTCCAGCTCCATTACGTTCTTACCTGAAAAGGTTCCACACTGCCAGATTTTACTGTTTGTTCCAGCCAAAACCTGGTGATAGGCAGTTGGTCCCCTGAACTTCCACTTAGAGCAGTTAACTTAGAAAGCTTGAGGTTATAAATCCTTTCTTTGCCCCTTTGCAATACAAATCTCCTACCTCGAGAACCATCTCTTTGAAATACAAACAATCAAGAAGGTAACTTTCACTTTTGTTCCTAGTCCCTGGTGAGAGGGTAAGAGCCAAACACTGGTGGGCCTAATTTGCATCACT